ATAACGAAATTAAAAAAGGAGGCGAAAGTAAAAGAAAAGAAACGATGCATGGAATCAGGTTTGAAGGCAACAATATGGTTGTTGTTGCCACTGCTGCTGCTGCTGTTATCCTTGACACATACAGGAACGAGCCGCATAGAATGTATAGGGACCCAATACGCACGCACACTGATTTGACAAGATTCCAAAAAAAAAAAAACATCCAAGTAGGCAACAACACAAAACAAACGCACACATACTCACAAAAAATGTCGAATGGTGGAAAACGGTGGAAAATCAGATAAGGAAATTTATAATTTGGAATTAATTGTAATGAAGATTTTTATGTACATAAACATGGGCAGACATACATATTTTTACATGTGCGGGTGTTTTGTTGTAATAAAGGTATCTAAAGGTTTCTACATTCAATGGAAGAAGATAAAAGGTATCAGTCGGTTCTGCCTACAGATATAAACCCTCAGCCAATGTTCGATTATTTAAATATATTTTGACTTCTGTTATGATTATTGAAATTGTTGACCCTTTATGGAGTTGGTTCCGAAGGAATGGACCAATATTGTCCATTTCGTATCAGACCTAAATAAATACGATATAAATTTTGTGACGTGCCAGGTTTGGACTATGGTTGGTTTCTTCATTCACTTTATATGAGATATGTGATAAGTTTTAGAAAATCTTATGATGTGCGTGAGGTACCAGATATAGTCGACCGAAGTATTCCATTTTCAAACATTTATATCAAATCTTATGTGAAATCATAAATTTAATATTCATTTCAGCTTTCTGGTTGAGAGAAATATTCAGCCATAGGAAGTTGTAAAGAATCGCTAAAAATTGTTACTCTTTGTGGGTGAGGTACCAGAAGGGGTTGGCAGATATATGTCACTTTCACACCAGCAAAAATGTTTGGATATGTGAAACTTGAAAAGAGTTGGATGCTTATTTCGGTTTCCTCGAGCGTTTTGTTTTTCAAAATCTTGAACGCTATGAGGGGGAGGTACCAGAAGAAATGGTCCGATCTCTACCATTTTTATAACAGGTCTTGTGTTAATAAAAATAATGAGATTTGCCAGGTCTGAATGGCATCCAATATTAATTTGACGGTTTATGAGCTTCATGAATATTTCAAATTTTGCAACTTCGTGGGGGAGGTACCAGAAGGAGTGTACCGATTTATCCTATCTTCACAACAGATATTATGTTAGTAGAAATAATGGGATGTTCGATATACAAAGAGAAGCTGATGCTTATTCGCGTTTTATGCCCTTCACAGATATTTAAAATTTCATAACAGATCTTGTGTTGGTAGAAATATTGAAATGTGTCAAGTCTGAATGGAATCGGATGTTAATTTCGCGTTTTATAAGCTTAATGGATATTTAAAAATTTTACACTTTGTGGGGGAGATACCAGAACATGTAGACCGATATATTACATCTTACCACCAGATCTTGAGTTTATAAGACAAACGGAATTTTAAGACAAACGGATTTTTACATCACATTTTATAACAGTTATAATTATTCAAAATGTTGACCCTCTGTGGAGGAGGTACTTGATGGAGTGTACCGATATTGTCCATTTTCGCACCTGACCGAGAACTGAAGGAAATATTAGGAATTGCAAAGTTGGAGCAAAATCGGAGTATTGCTTCTCTTTCTGTGCAGAAAATATTTTTTTGTTTTTGTTTTTTTTTTTTTTTTTAGAATATTTTGACTTTTTGTGGACTAGGTACCAGATAATAAACCTTGAGATAATAAAATTATTGGGATGTTTGAAAGTTGAAGACAATCGGACTCTTACATCACATTTTATAAGGGTTGTAATTAATCAAAATGTTGACCCTTTGTGGGGGAGGTTCTTGATGGAGTGGACCGATATTGTCCATTTTCGCACCTGACCTAGCACTAATGAAAATATTAGGATTCGCAAAGTTAGGGAAAATCGGATTATCGTTTCTCTTTCTATTCAGAAAATATATTTTTTGAAAATTTCTACCTTTTGTGGGGGAGGTACCAGAAGGAGGGCAGCGATATTAAATCAAAGAAGCGAAAAGTGGTAGAGCAATGGTCCGGTGGATTTAGTGTACAAAAGCAAAAAGCAATAAGCTTTGTTCGTATAGATTACCGAGAATATTTTTAAACGTATTTGGTTTTCGAAGGAGTAGCCATTTTTAATCGAATTCGAGTCAGTTTTTGGTGGTCTGCTTTATTGTCTTTAGTTTTTGTCAATTCGTTGATGGATTTTTTCTTCGTTTGCCGACACCAAGCCACAGAGCCTTAGGTTTTTTAGTTGGACGCGCATACTCCCTGCCAACGGTACTCTCTACATGGTAGATATACGACCATTGTAATTTTTATGGAGTAACCCATTATATTCAAACCACTGGTAATTCGGCTCATACAGATCCAATTTTTTTTCTCTGAGACTCCTGTATTTGCACTCATTTCGTTGCAAACCTCGCTTGCTGAAGCGTTTCGGAATTGTTTGCCATTGACCAATTCCACCTAGGGAACCACATATACCTTATTGCCTCTTCCCGTTCACTTCAATCGTCCATTAATTTTTCATAAAAAATATGCTTTCTTCAAACCTATGAGAGCCTATAGTTTAATCTACATAAAGTTCAAGTTCACACCTCTCTCTCGGCGCGATACGCATACATTACCGAACATCAGCGGCACTTAGATTTAATCTACTTTTAATTACATGCCTACCTAACCATTTGGACGCCTTCATTTTAATTACTGGAAGAATTTTGAATTTCAAATAAATGAAATTAGCATCTGGATCCATAGATGATTGGATGGAGATTCTTGCTCACCCGGTGGATGTTTTAATGAAGTCTGCCACATGGAAAATCATAATTTATTCACAGCTCATAGCTCTGTTCACCTTGATTTCAATTAACAAAAATTAATGGCAGCAACAACAACACATTCTCACGTGTTTTTAGCGCTGCTTTTTGAAAATGCCAACAGGGTGGTGGAGGTGGGCCTTGAAACCCTTTAAGTGAAATTTGCTTAAAAGTCAGTAGTAGTTCTTGGCTGGCAATGGTGAAATTGGTTTTAATTAGAAAACCACAAAATTGTTTCGAATAAAAATGAGAGAATTTTCCGCGTAACTGTTGTTGTTGCTGTTGTTTATTGATGTCTACAACAACCTGTAAATATTCGTAGACATTTGTTTTCGTCGTTTTTAATTAGTTTTTTTTAAGACACAATCTAATGTGTGTCAGCGTTCAGAAAGGCATGCATGAACGTGTTTCATTTTTATGTCGTAGGATGCTCCTACTTGAGTCCTTGAGTGAATATAAAATATGGGGAGTATTTAAATAATGTTTCAGAAATATGTAAGGTTGTATGAAGGCGAATTTAATAATTATGCACTGCAATGGAAAATTAAAGTAGGTTTTGTATTCTTGGAAAATTGTGCGCATTAATTGCGAAGCATCCGTATTTTTGTACTTCAAAAATACACAATGGCATTTGGGGTACGGGTAAAACTATATGCAGGGAGAGATAAAAAACTGCAACAAAGTCAAAATCCATAATTTTTACATTTGTTTTTCAATTTTATTGAATGAAGGCGAAAAATGTCGGAAATAGCATGAAATTTTAGAATAAGTTTAGATTTGTTTGAATTGGTCACTTTTGGCACGAATTATGGCCTCCAAACGGCCAATGAAACCGTCACACGCTGACCGAATGTTACTCTGCGGTATTTTGGCCCATTCCCGGCGAAGCGCTTGCTTGAGGTGATCGACACTTTGGTATTTTTTAGTGCCAACCTTGCTTTCCAAAATTTTCCAGACATAATAGTTCAACAAGGGATTGGTATCCGGAGATTTTGGTGGCGTTGGAAATGTAGCGAGGAACCTCAAATTGTAACCATTCTTGGGTAGAGCGTGCTGGGTGCCATGTTGCTGTTGGAATATCCAAGGTCTGCGACTAAAATGTTTGCGTGCCCAAGGCTTTAATACACCCTCCAGAATATTTTCGCGGTAATATTCGGCATTTATTCTGATGCCACGGTCGATTAATTCGAGCGGAGAGCGACCACCGGCTGTTATGGCGCCGTGCACAGTGCACATTTTCAGCTGACCTCTCTGGCAAGTAATTCTCAAGCCTACCACCAACGGGGACCCCAATACACAGTTTCAACATTTCAACTTCCTCCCTTCACCCCGAAACCAAACTGTTCCAAAATAAGTACCATTTAGTACAGTACACATTTCCAAAACCACCTTCATATATTAAACTTACTTTCCAATCTTGATTCTCATACCAAAGTTTTTAGCTCTACCCGTTGACATACTACCAAATGGTACGATTTTAAAATTTTAATACTTCTTCTTCTGTTACCTCCCCCTCCCAAAGGTCGAAATTTTCAAAAAATAGTTTACTGTAGAGAAAGAGAAAGAATAATCCGAATAAAAATCAGATACGTTTTAATATTTTTTATCAGATTTAAATATTGGCCCACTCCTTCGGAACATCTCTTATCAAGGGTTAAGAGTTTGAATAATCATTACGTAAGCTAAAATATATATATTTTAATAACCGAACATTGGCTGAGAGAATGCAGCTGTTGGCAATACCGACTGATTTAATTTTACTTGTTTTTTTTGTACATTTTAGTACTTTTCGTACTTTTTAGTGGGATTTTTCAAAAACCTAGACTCATCACTCTACCTCTACGCACCATTGACCGCCTCGTTTGGGCTTTGATTCTCAGTCAGTCAATTATTTTACTTTTATATATATATATACATAGATATTTGATTATATGTATTAATCTGGTAGGGAAAAAATATTCGAAGAAATCAAACACTTATTTAACACGTTTCGGTTTGGGTACCAGAAGGAGTGGATCGACATATCTTATATTTAGATATATAAATGGTAGGAATAAAAAGTTATTCGAAATTTGAGAAAAATCACGGAATTGTTTCGCAAAACAGAAAAATAGTCTTTCCTTTCCACTTCCTTTTTCAGATGACCACGATCACGCCGATCATCATTGCTGACATCTTTACTTCGAACTCTCTACGCTTTCATTTAGAAAGTAGCCAGCATCTCAAGACATTGTCATCCTTGGCGTGTTGCCCACACAGCAGTTTCCTAAATCTTTTCATTTTTTCAAATCCGAATCCAACTTTAACACCATCGCCGACCTGTAGCAGCTGGCAACAAGCGGTGATATGGGCGTGACAAAGAGAAACTCCTTCGATTTCAATTCGCTACAATTGCAACAGACCCATCGAAAATGTCATCACAGACAATCTAGTGGGATGATTGGAGAACCAATAACAACAAGAGCAACTATCCTACCACCACATGCAGTATACAACAAAAACAGCAACAACAACAGCGAGCATAAGAAAAAACAATCTCTCCCATTGACAGTAACAGCAACAATCGCCACACCAAATCAACAACAATTTTCGCAGAAACATCAACGAAAATCACAGCCACACTCCCACACCTCAGCCACCCCAGTCGTCATTCCAAGAGGCCAAGTCAATGCAAAGAATTGTTGTAGTACCGAAACGAATGCCAGGACGACAAATGGAGAAAGTGAATTTAAATCGACAACGGAAATATTAAACAGGCCGGAAACAGTCATTCTGTCACAGAAATACAAAGAGAATAAATCACTGAATCGCTTGGCCGTCGCCGGCAAGAGTGGCGGAAGACATTTACTCAAATGGGGTTCCCTCCAATTGAATTGTAGGAAGCACATGTGGCTTAGTGTGGCCATTGCCCTTATCTGTTTGTCATCCTCCGTAATTTGTCAAAATCCTTTAAAAGGCTCCGCTCTACCGCTTCTGGCCACCACCGCCACCACTCTTTCGCTGGCCACTCGGGGGTCCATGCTTGTTGCTGGCGCCTCCACCTATGAGCCCATTATCAAATATGACATTGTCCATAGGGAAGATGACGGCATGACCGTCGAGGACATTGATGTCAATAGCAATGAACAGCAATTGTTGGCCTACTACAAGAAAGCTCAAAAGGAACACGAGGATGAATTGCGAAGACAACGGCAGATGCAGATGCAACAGCAATACAAACACCATCACCAAGAGCGTGACATCGAACGCGAAACATTGAGGCCAGCTCTACACTTTGATGATATTATTCCTACCGTCGATGTGATATCCTCGTTAAGTTTGGTTGAAGACTCGTCCAAGCAAAAGAAGAGCACAGCCTCAAAGCGTAGCACCACAAAGCGTTCAAGTCCCACATCGCCTGTGCCTACCAGCACGCTCAGCCCAGTGGTAAGTAGTACCGTGGCAACTTCAACGGCAACCCCGGCCAGCAAAGCAGCAACAACAACGACGGCAAAAGTATTGACAACTGCCACACCGGAGGAGAAATGTGAACCGAAAGTATTGGATGAAATACCAGCGGAACCGGTAAGTGGCAAAATGTAATGGATTTGTGTTTATTTCAGAATACGTTTGTAACTGGTTGAAATTCTCATTGATAATGCTCAAAAAATTTGGTGGAACTTTGTAAAGTAACTGCTGTCGGACGTTCTATTAAAGATCCAACATTTGAATACCTGACAATTTAAATTTGTATACCCTCCACCATAGTATGGAGGGTATATTAAGTTTGACACCCCGAAATATACATTTTAGATTCGTCAAGGTACATACAGGGTGCGATAAAAAAACTGCAACAAAGTCAAACGCCAAATTTTTACAGAAGCACAAAATGTCGGAAATAGCATCAAATTTTAGAATAAGTTTAGATTTGTTCGAATTGGTCACCTTAGGAACGAATTATGGCCTTTAGACGGCCAATGAAACCGACACACCCTGCCCGAACGTTGCTCTTCGGTATTTTGGCCCATTCCCGGCGAAGCGCTTGCTTGAGAAGATCGATACTTTGGTATTTGGTATGCAGTGTAAGTTCTTGCACTTTTTGGAATTTCAATGGCTTTACCCCAAACTCATTTTTCAATATTTGCCGAGTGGAATATTGCGATATGTTTAGCTCACGAGCCATTTTTCGGCCACTGCGACGGGGGTTTCGATTAAGTCGCATCTTTACTTTTCGAACCATTTCTACTGATGTTGATGTGTTCTGCCGTCCACTTCCTTGACGTCGGTCTACGCTACCAGTATCTGTTGCGGTGTTGAACTTTTTGGAATTTCAATGGCTTCACCCCGAACACATTTTTCAATATTTGCCGAATGGAATATTACGATATGTTCAGCTCACGTGCCATTTTTTCGGCCACTGCGACGCGGGTTTCCATCAAGTCGCTTCTTTACTTTTCGAACCATTTCTGCTGATGTTGTTGTTTTCTTCCGTCCATTTCCTTGACGTCGGGATACGCTGCCAACATCACGTTAGCAAGCGATGGTATGAGACACAAAAGATTTATTCACATTTAAATGCTGGAGTGCTCTAACGATAGCCACTTGTGGTTTTCCAGCCAAATATAAAGAAATCACACTATCACGCTTGAATTCCATCACGGACAACTTTTTTTCCGGAAAATTCTTACCAAAATGCTTTTGGTACGCTTGTAAACAATATAACGAGCTGTCTCTGGAATAATTTTAACAGCTGTAGGACGAGTGGCAATCTGAAGTTGGTTGCAGTTTTTTCATTTCACCCTGTAATTTTATTTCCTTTCCAAATGACCTTAAGCAAAAAGATTGACCTTATATTATTTGACCAACTAAGTGCTCTTAATTATAGCACCCTTCACATGTGTGGGAGAAAGCACAAAAGGCTAGACATATTGATAATTTTTGATAAATTTCAATTACTTTCGCCTACATCACGTCTTGCTTTAAATCCTTGAATGCCATTCGCATAAAAATCAAAAAATTATTATTAGCTTTGATCTTCAAACTTTTGTAATTCCTTTAAGTTAAATTCAATGGCCATGTACTCCTACGTTCTACTTTCTTTTTTTTCTGTGCCAATTTGGGACGTCAACATAACCCAATAACAACAAAAAGCAATGCAAAGTTTTTTTTTTTGGGTTAAAGTTATTTGTCACTCACAGAAATGTTTTGCTCCAACAAATCATATTTCGCAGAGGAAGAGTATTTTTGTTATTGCAAAAAATGGAAATGAAAACGAATGCCATTCCTTTTCTTTCATTCCCCCGAGAGAGAAAGTTGTCACAAAAATAAATGTCGGTGGGTGGGGCGTTTGTGTTTTTGCATTGTAAAGCAAGGATTTTGCTGGGGCACACAAATTGGGGAGAAAACATATCAAATTCCCACCTAAGGGATTAGGAGAAAACTACGGGGAGAATATATTACAACTACTTGATAATATTTTAAGTTGTGTACATAAATTTTTTTGGCGCATATATTATTAATAATAATACAAATAATATTTAACTTTAATTTGAGCAAAATATAACTATTAAAACATTTTTTTTACAACTAGTCCACATTATATTGAATAATTTGAATAGTCTAATGAAGTTTTTTGGCATTCTTTTTTTTCTACCAACTGCAAATTATTTGACATCAAATTGTCTGCCCTCCAGGCACATAACTTGACATGTCACAAACCCATCTTCATCAATTTTCCAATTGGTGAAAATTGATTTTTGATTGGAAGCCATCAAATACAGTCACACCATGTCAGATTTACATTGTCACTGCATTCATGCATTGTGTAAATATGTAGAGGATGACTGTCGTGCATCGTATTGATAGCTATGTTTACAGTTGGATTTATTCAATGCATATACACATGCACTTATATGTTTCCTAGAGGTGTCACCGACTAATATTTTTGATAGAGCGGTGTTAATGAATTCTCCGTTCGTGGGACAAAAGATTCGAAAAAATAAACAAATAAATAAATAAAAAATTAAAAAAAAACAGTAAGCGCGACCGGCCGAACCTGGAATACTCCCCCCCCCCATTTGGAAAAACATGGAAATTTAAAAAAAAAAGCAGTAAAAAAAGTATCGGTCGGTTTTATCGACAGATGTATACCCTCAGCCAATGTTCGATTATTTAGAATTATTTTGACTTCTGTTTTGATTATTCAAACTCTTGAACCCTTTGTGGGGCAAGTAACAAAAGAAATGGTCCGATCTCTACCATCTTTATAACAGATCTTGTGTTGATGGAAATATCGAGATGTACCTTTTATGAGTTTAATGGATATTCAAAATTTTGAGCCTTTGTGGAGGAGGTACCAGAAGGAGAGAACCGATATATCCCATCTTAATAATATATCTTGTGTTAGCAAAAATGTTTGTATGTGTGAAATATAAAGAGAACCTGATGCTTACTTCGGATTTTATAAACGTTTTGGTTATTCGAAACTTTGACATTTGTGGGGGAGGTACCAGAAGGAATGGTACGATCTCTACCGTCTTTATAACAGATCCTGTGTTAATACAAATATTCAAATGTGCCAAGTCTAAATGAAATCGGATGTTAATTTCGCGTTTTATGACCTTAATGGATATTCAAAATCTCGACCTTTTGTGGGGGGGGGTGTACCAGAAGGAGTGGACTGATATATTCCTTCTTACCACCAGATCTTGGGTTTAAAAAAAAAATTGGGATGTGTGAAATTTTTAAGACAATGGGACTTTTACATCACATTTTATGAGAATTGTAATTATTCAAAATGTTGACCATTTGTGGGGGAGGTACTTAATGGAGTGGACCGCATATGCAATTTTTTATCATAGACTGTAGTTACTATTAGGAACTTTTAATCCAAAATTTGAAACAACTCCGGTGAATAATGTCGCTTAAATCATTAAAATACTGAATATTGGAAGATAACGTTATATGGATTCTCTACGAAGACGGGGGCCTAAATACGCAATTTTTGTCAAAGGCTGTAGTAACCATTACAAATTCTAAATCCAGAAATCCAGTGAATAATGTCCCTAAAATCGTCAAAATATCAAATATCGGGGGATACCGTTGTGTGTGGACTATGCGATATTGTGGACCTCTATAGACATTTCTCTTCCAGGGTGTTAGAAAGAACTTCTAGCATGGATTTTTAGACAATTCCAGTGAAAAATGTAGCTAAAATCATTAAAATACCGAACATCGGGAGGTACCGTTATATGGGGGATATACGATATCGTGGATCTATACAGACAATACTTTTCCAGGAGGTAAAGTACTCAGTATTTGAAAAATTTGGCTTCAATAAACAAAATACCGAATATCGGGGTCTGCCGTTATATGGAGGCAATACGATATCGTGGACCGATATGGCCCATCTTCAAACTGTCTGCAGACAAAAAACTGATCTGTGCAAAATTATAGCTTCCTATTTTTATTCGTTTTGACTCCAGCGTGATTACAACAGACGGACAGGGCTAAATCGTTTCCGAATATTACGCTGATAAAGAATATACATACTTTGTTAGGTCTAAAATTATTATTTCGATGAGTTACAAACGGAATGACGAACTTAATACCCTCCCAATTATGTATGCTAATTATTTTACATTAACGAGACCATAATTAGTGACTTTTTGTACTTTTCCTATCTTCGAATATCCAAAAACCCAGTCTTATACCGCATCTATGCCTCCAGTCTTATACCGCACCTATCTTCAGGAGTTTTCGTCATAGTCAAGATAACCAATCACCCAATTCTTTTATTAAAATAAATGTCGGATTCTGATATCGAATCGATTTCAGAGTCGGAATCATTCAACAATACGACTCTTAATTCAGATCCAGATCAAAAATGGCTCACCTCCGCAATACTGCTTGTAACAATTTCCTTTGTGTAACGGAGTCTTTCTTTTTTGTCAGAAAACTCCGGATGTTTTTTTTAGATTATTTTGTTGACCTATTTCATTTTCATGTCTTGTTAATCTTTCGACTTTGATCTCCATTGGCCTACTTCGTCGCAATAAATCTAGGATATTAGCTTTCATAAATAAACCATAACGTCCCATGTTTGGATAGACACTAATTTGTCGGTATCAATAACTAATACAAATGCATTTGCCTACGTCTGCATTGTGGATTTCAAATGCACACCCACACACCCACACACATATATATATATATGTCAAGTATCTGAAATGATTTCTTTTTGCAAACCACAAAAATAGAGGTTTCTTTTTGTTTTCGCATTTCTGATGTAGTGCCATTTCATATTGCTGCGATATTGTGTTTTTATAACCCCTACCCTGAATTCGATATTGGCTTGCTCAACAACCTCATGCCCCATTCGAAAGTGTAGTGAGTGCGTGCATTTGTGTGTGTGTGTGTTGCACTGCACAAGAGCTCTTTTGCACAAATCCAGGTTAACGTTTTTCTTGTTGGTTTGTTATTTTTTTTGTTTGCATTACCACTTTCAAGGAAAACAATTCAAATCGCTTAAAATTTATTGCAAATTTGTAGAACTTGACGAAAACGCAAAAACAATAACCATTCGTTCATTCATTTATCCATCGTACGTTCGTTCGTTCTTTGGGTCCGTCGTTCGTTTGGTTGTTTCACCTCCTTTTGTTGTCGTTGACGTTGCCATTATTTTCTCAAGCCAAGTGCTTTAACGTTCTACTGAGAGGATGACGGTGATGATGACATGATGACATCATTGTAACGCAAAAAAAAAACAACATTTGTGAGTATTTGTGTGTGTGGTATGTGGTTGAGTGCGAGTGAGTATTTGTTTTTGTCTGCCAAATAAAACGAGTCAAATGAGAAGAGAGACGCCGTGTGCTTTGCAGGGGGTTTTGTTTGTTTTCTCTTGTTTTGTTATTTTATTTTTGGGGTTATTTTGAAGGTGGGCGTGAGCGTGGAGAGTGAATACAATAGCAAGTGTTTCTTTTATTATTATTTATTGCAGTATCTTGTATTTGTTTAGGTGTTATTTTTATTATTTGTGTCTCGTGTTTTGTTTACATTTCGGTATGACATACAATATGTATGATTAATATTTTTATTTGGAAAATTACGAGTTGGAGTTTTTTGAAAATGCCCAGCCAATTAGTGGCACAGGGTGGCGTATGAATAACATATATAACTACCTCAATTATCATACGCCAAAATGGCCGCGCAATGTCAAATTAGAAGTTAATCTCCCTTTGTTAAAAAAACTAACCAGATTCAATTTACCAAATTCAAGTCAAAGTATATATTTCATATCCATATCTAAAATGTATCATTACATTTAGCCTTTAATTTTCATATTTCTTCTTTGATTGTTTTGTTTCTTTTCAGTATTACGACTTTGCCGATATTGCCGAAGATGCTGCCCGCAAATTTGCCGAGTTTTTATCCGTTAGATTTCCAACATCTCCGCCCGCGGTAATCACCGATGAAATACGTGACGAAGTGAGGCGCCGTGCCAACAGCATTGCCAGCAGTGCCCTCAATGAGGATGAGCATTTGCTGGCATTCGCTTTGGCAGCACCGAGCACCCATACGGTTGTGGTTAAATTTAAAGATAATGTTACGGTGAGTTTGTCGGTTTTTTTATCGTTTATTGTTGTTGTTTTTGTCGTCTATGTCTCCTCCTGTGTATGAAGTAGAGGAGGTCGGTAGAGCCAAACCATGATAATCGCAAATGACATTTTAATAGATTTTGTTGGTGTTTTTCTTTTGAGTTTAAATTAAAAAGAGATTTATAGTTTAGAAGGGTCATGGGAATGCATGGCTGATGAAAGAAGAAGACCTCCAGTGGGATTTGTATTATTAGAATACAACTAGTGGAGGTCTTCCAAATATGGCTCTTCAACTAGTAGAAGATTTTCTAAAATATTTTTTTTAGCTTTTTCATGCATAAGAGCCCACCTATGGTACCCAGAAGGTCTCCTATGTTTGAAAAGATAAAAAAGACATTTTATAGGTAATCTATAGACCTTCAATAGGTCTTATAAGAGGAATGCCAATTTTTTTTATCAATAGAAGATATTATGAGAAATGTTGTAGCACTATTTACGAATAGGAGACCTTTTATGGTTTTCTATGTGTAAAAAGGACTGTTATGTATAGGAGACCTTCTAAGGTCTCATATGTATATGAGACCTTCTATAAATCTTCTGTATATAAGAGACCTTCTATAGGTCTCTCATGCTTAGGAGACCTTCTATAAATCTTCTGTATATAAGAGACCTTCTATAGGTGTCTTATGTACTTTTATAGGACTATTTATAAATAGGAGACCTTTTATTTTATTCTATGTATAAAAAGGTGTACTATGTACAGAAGACCTTCTTATATGTTTGTTAGACACGTTTTATAGGTTTTTAATGTAAAGGTCTATAGGTCTCCTATGTATAGGGGACCTTTTATAGATCCTCTATGTATATGAGATCTTTTATATAAACCTTCTATACGTCTTCTATGTATAGGAGACTTTCTATACTTCTTCTATGTATATGAGACCCTCTATAGATCTCCTTTCTATAGGGGACTTTTTAAATACCCTCTATGTATATGATACCTTCTATAGGTCTCTTATGTCGGGGAGACCTTCTACAGATCCTCAATGTATATGAGACATTCTATAAGTTCTCTATTTAAAGGAGGCCTTCCATTGGAATTATATATGTAGCATACCTTATATAGGAATTCTATGTATATGAGACCTTCTAAAGGTCTCCTATGTGTGGAAGAGGAAGATCTATGACAACTCTCATATAGAATGTTAATATCACTCTATTTCTGGAAGACTTCCTACGAGATCTCTTCGTGTTTTAAGGATATTATAGGCCAATATACTTCTTCCGTACATTCAACATTATTTAATGCTAAGCTTCATCTTCTTGTAATTTTAGATACCGCCCGATCAGGTGCACAATCGTGGCTTTTTAGGTTCATACTGGCGTGAACTGGGACATGCCTGGAATAGCACCGAAGGTTCACAGGAATGGGGTGCACCATTTCGAGACTGTAATTTATTAGTAAATCGTTGGTTGTGGCCATTCAGGATATCGCTGGTGGAATCAAAATTTAAGTAAGCAATCGGAGCCTAAATTCTCAGAATTTAATTTAATTTATTTAAAAAAATCAACTTTTCTAGAATTGTGGCAGCTGCCTTTATTGCCGCCGATGAAGATGTCTGTAACGATGGTTTGGAACAGATATTTGGACGTAAACATGGGTAAGCCCAAATTTATTTATATTTTTATTCCATCCTTCTTAACCCTCCATTTCCTTGCAGTTGCGATCGTAATACCACCTTTTGTCTATTAACCGAAAATAAACCCGCCGCCACCAGAGATGTCTACACCTGCATTTGTCGCGAGTCCTACTATTTACCCAATTCCACGCTGCAAGGCTTCCGTGGCGACATTGTTGAGATGTCGGAGGGCTTTGATAACTACTCCTGTATACCCTGTCCGGCTGGTTGTTCGAATTGTGATTCGAATGGGGTTTGTCTGTTTGGTGAAGATCAGGAGGCGGTCTCCTTAGAGAGTCTGTTAAAGGTGTCGGTGGGCTCGGTGTTGGGAGCCTGTATCCTATGTTGTCTGGTTCTAAGTATAATTGTCTTTCGCCAAAGGAAATGCAAGGTATGTAAAGGATACAAAAAAATCGATAGCCTTAAAATAACGAATTGTCATGTGGTTTTTTCTTGAAGGCCATTGCATCGGGCATGTGGACGGTGCTGGAGACTATTCTATTGGGTATTGTTTTACTGTATGCCTCGGTAAGTAATGATTGCCATTGTCAGCGATGTAATTCAATTTATTTGATGTGTATTTTTGTTTTTCAGGTTGCCATCCATTTCTTCCCCGCCTCTACGGAACGCTGCATCATCGAACCCTGGCTGCGTGAGCTGGGTTTTATTACCTGTTATGGTGCCATAATATTGAAATTATACCGCCATTTGGTTGACTTTCGTACACGCAAGGCCCATCGCTGGGTGCTGCGTGACGTCGACCTACTCAAATATCTGGGCACAATGGTATTTGCCGTGGCCTGTTATATGGCGGCATTTACCGCCTCGTCGCTGGATCTCTTGAAAATCGCCAACTTGGATAGTTTGCGAGAGGTGAACACAAATACCTGCCAACCCCTCAACTGGGAATACGTGACACAGCACAGTGAAATACTCATTTTGATATTTGGTCTACACTTAGCCTATGCCAGTCGCAATGCCAATACACAATTCAGGGTGAGTTCTGAGGTTTGGCGGTTTTATTATTAAGCTGAAGAAGAATTAAATAACATCTGGTAGTTTATTATATGTAAGGGGACGTTTTATTCATCGATATTATGAGGACGCTAGGTTGCCTGTGGAAACGTTTTCTTTTGTTATAAATTCTAATCATAACTGAGCCAGAGAACTTTCAATGTAGCCGAACAAACAACAAGATGCTGGCCCATTTAGAACTCTTGGTATCACGGATATCTCAATGATTACACTGCGCATCTTTTCTTCAAATTTGCAGGAAAATATAAGTAGATTTTGAAAGTAGAACAAAAAGTTTACAACAGGATAATTGTTATATGTTTATAATCTACAACACTATGTGTTGGGGGTATTATAAGTTTGATTGGGCCAAAAAGTATGTAACACCTCGAAATATTGGTCCCCGAAATAGGCAACTGTGTATGGATCTTCCTATCTCGCCGAGCTGAGTCGATCTAACTATGTATGTCCGTCGGTCTGTCAGTCTGTCCATGTTAGTTCGTAATCAAGCTACAGGTCGTAATTATGGTCCGATCGAAATACAGAATAGAGGCCTATTTTTTTGAAGATAATCGCAAACTATTTAGAGGCTTGAAATGGACAAAAAACAGAAAATGTTCCTGATTTTTTGTTGTTTTACAGGCCATAATTATAGATCGACGCGAAATTTAGCATGGAGTTTGATGGTAGGCCTGGACAGAAGCCTACCAATTTGGATGGTCATCGGCAATATTTAGCGGGTGAAATAGACCCTAACTTTTATGTAAGAAAATGCGACAATTTTTATTTAACAAGAGCTTACTTCGGGCCAATATATTGATCCTGATATCCAAAATATCGGATATATAGCAAATTAGGTACAATATATACAGGGTGAGATAAAAAAACTACAACAAAGTCTAACGCCATAATTTTTACATATTTTTTTAATTTTATTGAATGAAAGCAAAAAAAATGTCGGAAACAGCATCAAATTTTAGAATACGTTTAGATTTGTTCGAATTGGCGACTATCGGCTGTCATGACGGCCCACACCATCACCATGGCCGACGCTTGAGTTTTGGTGGCCAACCGAAGGTACACATTTTCAGCTGACCTCTTTGGCAGGTAAACATGATCATTTTGTTTGTTTACAAACTGCTGGACAACGAATATTTTCTCATCGGAGACGGAGATGAAACTCTTTAGCTCTTTTGAGTCTCTTTTCTTTCTGTTGCGGTGTAAGTTCTTGCTCTGTTTATAATTCAATGAAGTATTGCGATATGTTCAGCTCACGAGCCATTTTCGTCCACTGCGACGCGGGTTTCGATAAAGTCGCTTCTTTATTTTTCAAACCATTTCTGCTGATGTTGCTGTTTTCTTCCGTCGACTTCCTTGACGTCGGACTACGCTGCCAGTACCACGAGCGTAACGAGCGATGGTACGAGACACAAAAGATTTATTCGCATTTAAATGCTGTAGCTCTCTATATATCTCTATATAGCCAATTGTGGTTTTCCAGCCAAATATAAAGAAATTACACTATCACACTTGAATGCCGAATAACTTTTTTTCTGGAAAATGCTCACCAAAATTCTTTTGTACGCTTGTAAACAATATAATGAGCTGTCACTGGAATAATTTGAACAGCTGACGAACGAGTGGCTTAGAAATGACAGCAGTCTGAAAATGGTTGCAGTTTTTTCATCTCACCCTGTATGCAAATTGTGAATTTTGAGTGTTAAAAAAATCTTACACAAACTTTTCGAACGAATCTAAAATTTTTGGTGGACTTTTCGCTGACGAATTAGCGGGCATTTGCTAGTACTTATATAAAAGACAGAAAATCGGTAAAATTAAAAAAATAATGTTTTTGGGTTAAAGCCACACTCCATCTGAGTTTATGCAGTCAGCCTCTAGGTCAATTTTAAACCGTTACATCTGAACCGATTTACACTAAATTTGAAGTACTGGTTTCCAGGATGAATTCAAGCGTAATTATCGATATTCAGTCCACTTGGACTGATATTAGCCATTTGGTGCACAATTAACCCGAAATCAATAGGGTTCGTCCTTAGGCCAAACAAATATTCTTTGGAAAATTTCATCTCAATCGGATAATAAATGCGACCTGCATATTGTTCACAAGAATACATGGACAGACGGACAGACGGGCTGACATGCATAAATCGACTTAGAATGTGATTCTAGGCGTATCCCCAAAAGTAACCATGGGTCTATATCCCTTCCTTCTCCCTGTTACAAACAAATGCACAAAGACATAATACCCTTACCACTATGTGGTGTAGGGTATTAAAATGCGCTTTATCGTTCCACTCCATTATAGTAATGACCCTCATCTTTTCGAACTTATATATGTTAAATACACATTTCTAACTCAAAATATTCTCTTCTCACGTTTTCAGGAGCGACAATTTCTGGAAATAACTCTAATCATTGAGTTCGTGGTATCCTCAGTATTTTATATTCTACGATATTTATATTTACCTGTCATGAGTCCGAGTGCCATCTTTTTGGCCCTCTTCATACGTTCTCAGCTAACCAATACCATTGCATTGGGTTTGATATTTGTGCCAAAGTTGTGGTATCAACACAAGCAGGTGAGTTCAAGTTGCTGTTGTTGGAGGAGATGAGATTTGTTTTTGGTTTCGTTTTAGTTTGAAATTTATCAATTTTAAGTTTTACAAAAAAAGAATTTATTTGAATTTGAAAAGAAAGAAAAAAGTATTAAAAATTTCAAAATGATGTTGAAAAATATGAACAAAAGTAAATTGTAATTATTTGAAAATAAAAAACAAAAAATGGGAATCGGTTTTTTATCTGTACAGTTAAAAAAGTGAAACAATGAAAATGTGCGAAAACAAAGACAGATATGTGCTTTTATTGAAAACATAATGAAGACATTATTTTCGTTTTAATTTTTATTTATTTTTAAACATTTAAATTGAATAATAAAAAAAAAACAAAACTCCTCGTATACAATTGCCTTTGTATACATTTGTAATATACTAACCGAGCTATGAAGTTGCTGCAAGTGTTTTCTTTGGAGATTTCCTTATGATTTCTTCATTTGTCTTTCCAACTGTTCTTCTTTAGATTTTCCTTCTTTAGTTTGTTTTATATAAATATTTGTGGTGTTTGTAATTTTATGTAGATATATTCAATTGCATGCCATCTAAATGTATTGTTTTGGTATTATTAATTTATTTTCAAAATATTATGGTTTTCTTAATATATTACATAGTTCTATATGTTAACACTGTTGTTAGTGTATTTTGAATTTTTAAATATTTTTTTCGAACATACAAATGTGCTTAAATGTGGTAGAATTATAAAGGTAACCTTGTGCAGTGATATATTTACATTTCTATTTAAAATCGTACTTTTCACATCATCTCATTGTCGAAATCTATGATCACAATGTTTATTAAAAAAAAAAACAAATTACAACAAATAGAAAGGCAGTAAGTTCGGCCGGGCCGAACTTTGAACATCCTCCACTGTTTAGAACGAATTTGAAAATTTTCAAAAAAAAAAAAAAAAAAAATAAAATCCGTTAAAAATTCTGTAAAATCTTAAAATTACGGAACATAGCCGTTATATTGGGGTCTATACGAAGATGTGGGCCTGCATAGGCAACTTTTGTCATAAGCCAATATTGGAATACGAAATTTCAAATAATTTCGGTGAATATTATAACTAAAATACTCAAAATAGCGAATATAGGGAGGCACCGATATATGGGGCCTATACAGGGTGAGATGAAAAAACTGCTGTCATTTCTAAACCACTAGTCCGACAGCTGTTAAAATTATTCCAGTGACACCTCATTATATTGTTTACAAGCGTACAAAAGCATTTTGGTGAGAATTTCCCAGAACAAAAGTTATTCGTGATGGAATTGAAGCGTGATTTCTTTATATTTGGCTGGAAAACCACAAGTGACTATCGTTAGAGCACTCCAGCATTTAAATGTGAATAAATATTTTGTGTCGCTCGTTATCGTGCTGCCGTTACTAGTAGCGTATCCCGACGTCAAGGAAGTGGACGGAAGAAAACATCAACATCAGCAGAAATGGTTCGGAAAGTAAAGAAGCGACTTGATCGAAATCCGCGTCACAGTGGCCGAAAAATGGCTCTTGAGCTGCAAATATTGGAAAATGTGCTCGGGGTACACCATTGATATTCCAAAAAGTGCAAGAACTTACACCGCACCGCAACAGAAAAAAATAGACTCAAAAGAGCAAAAGAGTTGCCGAAAGTGGTGAACTGTCGAATTTGGGTTTGTTGTCCGTCCAGCAGTTTGTAAACAAACAAAATGATCGTCTTTACTTGCCAAAGAGGTCAGCTGAAAATGTGCACCTTCGCTTGGCCACAAGAATATATACACCTTGTTAGGTCTAAAATTATTATTTTGATGGGAATGACGAACTTAATATACCCTCCATACTATGAGGGTATAGAATAAAAATCCAGAGGGTATTCTTATTCGAATTGATGAGGTTACCTTGAAATAATTGTACCATGTTATTCATATCGAAATGTTTTAGATATAGGTATTGCTTTAACAATATTTTCTGTACATTGTCTCTGGAAAGGTCTGGTAAAGGGTGATTTTTTAAGAGCTATTTATTTGAATTTATAGTACGATCCAAATGCGTCAATTGAAGCTCCCTCGTTTACTTCGATGATGCACGTTGTGGTCTTATCAGATGATATATACCCTCTCTAGCCATATGGCTGAAGGTAAAAAAACTCACTCCAAAATCAAAAGTTCTCCATATTTACGTACAAACTGAGCCAAAAATGAGCTCTGTCGCAGAACCTAATTTTTCGATAAAAAAAAGTTTATCTTCGGCCAACTTTCCAAGAGGACATAGAACAAAAATTCTGCCGCACGGTAGGTCGTACGACTTTAATTCTTCCACCATTTTTTTTTTTTAATTTCAATCGTTGCTTAGTAACGAAGGAACAATTGATACGCACGGCGACGAATCGATAATTGATGGCCAGCATTAACATTGGCTGCCATATTTTCTTCCATATCTGAATGTAGAATTGGTGTGAAATTTAATTAAAATAGCCGCTTTACCTATTGACCATACAATGGAAGAGGCTCAAGATGAAAATTCTTCTCAGAGCACGCATTTTCAACAACATTCAATGATTTAAATTATAGACCAAACTGAAGATGATTGGCAGTGATACTTGCATGAGTTGCAGTGTTGCCAAAAAGAAAATAGCCAAAAAATTACCCTTTACAATACAAGATTGTGTAGTGCATGTTTCGAAATAGATGTTCCCTTTACCCCTCTTTCCAAATAAAATCTTCCTTCCTTTAAAAATGTAATGATGCTGTAAATTTCTTGTAACTTCATCTATTTTCTCCCTTGACTGTCAAAACTATTTCTTTCTCTTTCTAACTGAATGAATGAAACACTGACACACAAAACTCTGTAATGCTACACAAAACACGATAACAAAAAAATTAAAAAATAAAAATCGGTTTCCTTTTAGAGTGCAAAATTAGAAAGCAACAATTAAAAAAATATATAAAACTCTTTCTCAACTCTTCAACTATTTTTCTTCAAAACCTCAGTGTCGTCTATGACTTCTATTTCAAATAAAATTTATATCCTTGATAAGTTCGTTTCTGTTTGTGTTGGAATTTTAACAATTTGGACTTTATTTTTATGATTTCCATGTGAGTTTTGAAAAAGTGAATTTATTTTTTTATTTATTTTATTTTCATTTCTTTTTTAATTTTAGCGCGCCCATCATAGACACAATGTTTGAAACAGAAACAAAAATACCACCCACAACAAGCATATTTACATATCATTACACCACACCTATCCACCCACCATGCCCTCCCCTGTGAACTCAACAGTCATCACTTTTCTGTTTCTCTGCAGCTGCTATACAAGTTTAAACCAATTTATGTTTTCCACCTAAGAACGCCACATTTTTGTGTGAAGACCTCCACATCCTTGGTTTGTTGTTATTTTCCTTTTTTGGATTTTTTCTTCGTTTGTTTTGTTTTTCTTCTTCTTCTTCTTCTTTGTTTTCCTATCTCTGTGTGTGTGTTTTGCGGTGTTTTGGTTGCATCTTCATAGCTTGCAGGTCCGTTCCCTTGCCCATGATCTATCCTTACGTTTACCTGTGGATGCTTTCAAGGGTTCTCATGATGTTGGCCAACGTTTGGGTGGTGGCTATGCCGGCCTATGTTTGGGTGACCCGGATATCGGTGAACTGACAATATCGGAAATGAGTCCTGAAGACATACGTGCTGAACTCAAAAGGTGAGTTTAAAAAAGAGAGTATAAAACATAAACCGAGAGTTCTCTCAATTTATGCTTCTTCTTTTTTTCCATTTGGGATTAATGTTTACTAACTACTCTCTTTAATTTGGTGCTTGGATGATTAAAAATTAATTCAAATCTATATTTCTAATTTATTTTCCAGACTGTATACCCAATTAGAAATATTGAAAAACAAAACTTTACGCCAGGATAATCCACATATCAGCAAAAGACGTGGTGGACGTAAAGCCGGCCATAGACGTTTCTCTCTACAGGTAGGCGGCATTTAGCAGTAGTGAAGTTTTTAGACTAACAATGGGTTGTTATAAAATTATATATAATGTATATAAAATTCTACAATTGTTTAAATTTGAGACGAAACTTTTCATTTATTATGTAGTTAAAATTGTAAGGTATATACATATACTTCAGTGATATTCTTAGGCTATATGGTACTCCCAGCTATTAGAGTTAAAATTACCCAGTAGTTCATACTTCCAGGTAGTTTGTTCCCTGTTTAATTAGAATCATGATCAGAAGTTATACAATTTTAAAAATATGATGTAAATAATTATATTTTTGTTTGTAATCATGGTAGAAAAATACTAGTAGTCGCATCGACACAGCTGCTGGGACAATGAACTGTCAAACCAATTTTGAAATGAAAATTTTGAATGAAAAATTATTTACATTTTTAAAATCCAATGAAAAATGCATTTGATAACAACCTCCGATTGGTGTCGTATAGGAAAACATATACAAATCTATTTATTTCTGAAGAAATATTTAAAATTTTTTGACATATCAATGTTCCCAAGTATTGATGCATCTACCTATATTCTTCTGCCATGTTTGCAATTGTTAAAGTTTCAAACAGCAGATTGTTTGAGTCTGGAGCATTCTCCCATTGGCTTAACTTCATATTACGTTTTTTCAAAATGAAAACGACAATTTGGCAATAAATGTTTATATCTACCCATGACAATGAAACCGCGTAAAAAAATTAAAATCAAGGTCAATTAGTTATAATATTAGGTCATCCAAGAACTCCAGCTGATTACCGGACAAGCTCCCAACAGGACTGTATTTTTTCAGCGTAATTTCTTCATTGTCTATGGAAACATAAACAAGTAAAAAAACCCTCCACCATTTGGAAAGATATTTGGCATTTTTCAAAAAAAAAAAAACCAAAATAAATAAATAAATAAAATCCGTTAAAAATTCTGTTAAAATCTTAAAAATACCGAATGTAGCCATTATATTAAAGTCTTTACGACGACGTGGTCCTGCATAGGCAACTTTTGTCATAAATCATTACAATATGCAAATGCGAAACTTAAATAAAAAATTGGTGAATATATAGCTAAAATCATCAAAATTCCGAATATAAGGAGGTTCCGTTATATTGGGGCTATACGAAGACGTAAACCTGCACAGACAATTTTCTGTCATAGGCTGTAGTATCCATTACGAACTTCAAATACCAAATTTCAAACAATTTCGGTGAATAATGTCGGTAAAACCATCAAAATTCCGAATATAGGGAGGTACCGTTATATGGGGGCTATACGAAGACGTGGACCTGCACAGACAATTTTCTGTCTTAGGCTGAAGTACCCATTACGAACTTCAAATACTAAATTTGGAAAAATTCCGGTGAATAATGTTGCTAAAATTTTCGAATTACCGAATATCGGCAGGTACCATTGCATGGGGGCTATACTGAAACCATTTTCAATACTAAACCATTTTCAATACTAAAAGTCCTGCAGTCCTACTTCATTTCGTTCGGAAGTGAGGGTGATTTCCACAGACGGACATCGCTAAATCGGCATACAATTTTATGCTGATCAAGAATATATATACTTTGTGTATATATATTAAATGTATATTTCGAGGTGTTACAAACGGTGGAGGGTATAAAAAAACTGCCTCTCCGATCGATTAGCCAAGCAGAAAATTTAAGCTAAGAGCTGAACGTGTTTTACTCTTTAAGGCTAAAACACTTGCAGAATATAAAATTTATGGTCCTAAAAATATCTACGTTCTTGCAGTTCTGGAACAGACCATTTGAAACCAGTTTAAAATAAGCTGTGGTTCTTGGATGACATTATTAATGGACCTTGTGTTTTTTTTAACAAAAATAAATACATTTACACTGCAAAAGTGTTTTGAAAATTCAACTCTATAAAACGTATTTTTTTAAATGGCGAACCAAGATCACAACTTACAGAAAATTGTGTAGACATGACCTCAGTTATATAGTAACCAGTACAATGCTATACAACGAACCACAAAGCAACAGCATTTTGTTGGCAACTTGTTTATCTTTTGTTCTCCGATTTCAATCACAATAATACATTTTGACATTAAATTTGATAATCAGATGTCTTTGAAAAAGGGGACCTTTTAATTGGGCCATGTGCAGAACCATCAAACCAAGATCCAAACCAAAATCAAAGATTTGACAAATTCTGTCTTGTATTTGTATTATCCTGTATATAAATAACTCAAGTGTATGTCAAAATTGTTTTTGAAATTAAAACCATTTTTTTGTACGCTGTTTACATAGGTATCTTTATTTCAGACATCAATACCAAAAAAAAAAAAAACACATATTGTAAACAAATCCCTTATCTATATATGATTTCAATTAAATATTTTTACCCACACATTTATAATAATATTAAATTAAATTATGTACATTTCCATGTGTTGTGTGATTCATCAAAATCATGTTTCGAACCACAAAAATTCGTTTTCTTCCCTCCGGCAATTTTGTTGTAAACTATTTTAATAACAATATGTTCCCCAACAAACCTAAGAAAAAGGGAAGCAAGGATAAGGTAAGCCAGTGTGACTATCATGTGAATAAGAAAAAAAAAAAAACGAAAAACAAAAAATAGAAATAATAAAAACACCAAATGAAATCTATGCAACTAAATCCTAAATCCCTCACATAAGAGAACAAAAAAGAAACACCTATCCTTAGTTGTCAGTTTTTGGTGTAAATCCAATCCTGAATGTTTGTGCTGTGTGTGTTGGTTTTCCCTACTTCCAAGGTTATAGCGCTGACTCACCTATCCTGTCTATAATTCTTCACTTACCTCCTACATGTGTCCTTTGTCGTTATAAATCTAAATGTATCCTTTCACTTCCTTTATGTTTTAGATTATTTTCCTGTCATTTTGTATTTAAATAAAATTAAAGGAACCTGTGTTAGGGCATTTAATTTTAAACGTAATTAAAAAACGCATCATATAAAAACCAAATTATATTGATTTTATGTAAAGTTTGTATTTTCAGGTGTCATGTTCACATTTAATAGATTTGTCAATTTAAAAAAAAATCCACTCCAATGTAAAGATGATATTAGGAGTGTTTAATCGGTGACCTAAAGCTGGGAAATCATAAAGCGCTTATGTCATCGGCTGGCTTCTTCGGAAATGAACAAAGGAGCCTAGGGTCAAAATCGAACTAAGTCAACCTAAAACTCCTTTGTTTCTCTACGAAGAAGCCAGCCGATGACTTAAGCCAGTCAAATAAGCGCTTTATATATTCCCAGCTTAGGAGCACTTTAGAATCCACTCGGTTTCAAATGTCCCTTCCATAGTGTATACGTCACGTAATTCGTATTCATAAATACAGTGGATCATATTTGACGTATGCGCCATGGTATAATAATACAGGTAGTCGCATCGACACAGCTGCTGGGACAATAAACTGTCAAACCGATTTTGGAATTGAAAATCTTGAATGAAAAATTATTGAAATTTTTAAAAATTATTGAAAAAAACATATCATTACAACCAACGATTTGCGTCGTAAAAGAAAATAAAATCTAATTATTTTTGACAAAAAACTTTAAAAATGTTGACATATCAACGTTTTCAAGCGTTGATGCATCTACCTACATTCTTCTATCATGGTTTTGATGTTGTTTCAGTAGACAGTCAGCTGATGTTTGTTTACAACCGATTTACATATATGTTCTTATACGAAACCAATCGGAGGTTGTTATGAGCTCCTGGGACATTGAACTGTCAAACCAATTTTGAAATGGAAAAATTTAAATGGAAAATTATTCAAATTTGTAAAAATTTTTGAAAAATCCATATCATAACAACCACCGATTGGTGTCGTAAAAAAAACGTATAAAAATCTATTTAGTTTTGAAAAATAAAAATAAAAAGTATTGACATATCAATGTTCCCAAGGCTTAACGCATCTACATGGTTAATAGTATGGTAAAAGAATACGGGTAGACGCATCGACACAGGTGATGGGACAATTAACTATCAAACCAATTTTGGAATTGAAAATTTTGAATGAAAAATTCTTCAAATGTGTAAAAAATATTGAAAATGCATATTATAACAACCTTCGATGGGTGTCGTATAAGAAAACACAAAATATATTTTTATATTTGAAAAAAAATTAAAATGTTGACATATCAATGTTCCCAAGATGCATCAAATCTACCTGTATTATTTTATCATGATATTAACTTATCACTAAGGCTGGAAATACATAAAGAGCATATTTGGCTGGCTTAAGTCATCGGCTGGCTCTTCATAGATGAACAAAGGAGTTTTAGGTTGACATAGTTCGATTTTGGCCCTATGCTCCTTTGTTCATTTCCGAAGAAGCCAGCCGATGACTTAAGCCAGCCAGATAAGCGCTTTATGTATTCCCAGCTTTAAAGCTTTTTTGAATAGTTTGAAAAGAACAAAGGAACGAGGGACCAAAATCAAACTAAGTAAACCTAAAACTCCTATGTTTGTTCAAAGAAATCTGAGTGTAAAGATAGGACAAAACAAAGTCAAAATATGGCAAGCCTGTGAAAATACCTCTGTTGTTAGCATGGTAGAAGAATACAGGTAGTGTCATCAACACAGCTGCTGAACTGTCAAACCGATTTTGGAATTGAAAATGTTGAATAAAAAATTATTGAAATTTGTAAAAGTTGTTGAAAAATGAATATTATAACATCCACCGATTTGCGTCGTATAAGAAAACATTTAAAAATATAGGTATTTTTGATAAATCATTTTAAAAATTTTGACATATCAATGTTTTCAAGCATTGATTCACCTACCTATATTCTTCTGACTTAAGCCACTCAAAAAAGCATTTTATATACTCTCACCTTAACGTTTTATAACAAAAGGTAGGATATATCTCGGATCTTTCAAATCCTGTGAGTTATCTTTCGATTAAGTAATGGTACGTTTAGGGTTTACCGGATTTTGTAAAACTTGTGGATTTGTGAATAAATCCTCATAGGCCCGTTCCTATATCTTGCCTTTATAGTCCACTTTTGTTATTCCTTACTTTAAGAAAAGGGAAGTATAAAGTTCACATTCCAAGATGTAATAATCGATCATAAGGGGTTAAACCGGCAAAAACTGAAACATACTATAAATGTCAGGATCATTTGTTTAAAACAAAAAATCAAAATCAGTACAATAAGCAACCCTGTGATTGGAACACGATTTGTTTTTGTATACATCCTTCCACCTAGTTTCTTCATGTAAACATCCCTCTAGAATATGACGACTTCACAACATTAATATTGCTATCGTACAAATATCACAACAACGTACTAGTTTATATTTAAATTATGTTTTATTTCCCTCCTTCCACGATATGTGCATCTATGTATGTATCTAGTACAAACCAAGCATGTTTCTTATAAAAAACACTTTATAGTTTTCATATGTATATATTGGAATGATCGATATATATTACTCCTACTAATCCTTCATTTGTTTTTCTTCCTCACTCTAGGCCCTGAGTGCCAAGCATCGCAGTAATAAACACCATCAGGATATTGAAATTACCGAAGCAGAACCATCGCGAACACCGGAGGATTCAGTGTGCAGCAATGAAGGACCCACAGATACCTATGCGGAAATATCTGGCATTTCCCATTCCATGTTAAGTCATTCGGTTGTGTCTCATTCCATGGCATCGCATAACAAGTAAAAAAAACTACAACCTGGCAACTCTCAATCCTCAAAAACAAAATCCAACTGCGGCAGCAACAGAGCATTAAACTAAACAAACAACACAATAATTATTAAAAAAAAAAAAACAAACAAATAAAACCAGCAAAAATATTAAATTGTAAATAAAAATAAACTTAAATGATATATTATACAAAGTAAAAAAAACAAAATCTATATATACATACTTAAAACTATATGTTATATACACATATATAAAAATGTAACCAAAAAGAAAAATAAACGTTATATAGGAACATGTTTTGTTTTTATTTGAGCAAATGAATAATGAAGAAGAAGAGAAATAAACCTAATAAAACAAAATTAAATAAAGTGGCCAGAAAATTAATTACTTTATTTTATAAAACCAAACAAAATGAAAAAAAAAACGTATAATAATATTCATTGAAAATATAATAATACAATATTTATATAAAAATATATGAAATATATAAAACAAAATATTTGTATAAAAAATGTTTGATAATATTGGAGAATAAAAACAGAAACCGAAATTATAACAACAAAAATCATTTGCAATGGAAAACTAATTTTTATATTAAAAATAAAAGTTGTATTACACTAGTCTACAAAAACTGTGTGAAAGCTGAAAACCATGGTAGAAGAAAACAGATAGATGCATCACCGCTTGGGAAAATTGATATGTCAAAAAATTTAAAATGTTTTTTTATTCGAAAATAAGTAGATTTTGATATGTTTCCTTATACGACGCCAATCGGAGGTTACTATGATATGTCTTTTTCAACAATTTTGACGAGTTTAAAAACTTTTTTCATTCAAAATTTTCAATTTAATTGGTTTGACAGTTCATTGCCCTAACAGCTGAGTCATTGCGTCGACCCGTATTCTTTTACCATGACTGAAACCATATTTAATAGTTGTTTAACAGAGCTTTTGTTACAGGTAGATGCATCAACGCTTGGGAGCATTGATATGTCAAAAAAATTTAAATGTTTTTTTTTCAAATATAAGTAGAATTTTATATGTTTTCTTATACTACGTCATTCGGAGGCTATTAAAATTCGTGTTTTTCAACAATTTTTACAAATTTAAATAACTTTTCATTCAACATTTTCAATTCCAAAATTGGTTTGACAGTTCATTGTCCCAGCAGCTGTGTCGACGCGTCTACCTATATTCTTCTACCATGTTTTGTTCATGATACTACTAATGTGGAGTTTACACAGACCAAACTTGTCTTCAACAGGGGTTGTATTCAACTGTCACATGCAGATTGGCAATAACAGTAAGTTTACATATAAATGGGTTATCCCAATGGATTTAGATTAAAATTGTCATATCCAAGGCGAAGGGCTTGCTTGAGGTGATCGACACTTTGGTATTGGCTTTCCAAAATACTCCAGACACAATAGTCCAACGGATTGGTATCCGGAGATTTTGGCGGCCATTGTGCGCTGGAAATGAAACGAGGAACCTCATTTTGTAACCATTCTTGGGTGGTGCGTGTTGAGTGCTATGGTGCTGAGTGCTGTTGGAACGTCCAAGGTCTGCGGCCAAACTGTTTACGTTCCCAAGGCTTTAATACACCCTTCAGAAAATTGTGGCGATAATATTCGGCATTTATTCTGATGCCACGGTTGATTAATATGAGCGGAGAGCGACCATCGGCTGTTATGGGTGCCAACACCATCATCATGGCCGGCGCTTGAGTTCTGGTGGCCAACAGAAGGTGCACATTTACAGCTGACCTCTTTGGCAAGTAAACACGATCATTTTGTTTGTTTACAAACGAATGTTTTCTCATCGGAGACGGAGAAACCCAGATTCGGCAGTTCACCACTTTCGAATTTTAAGCGAAGCAACTCTTTAGCTCTTTTGAGCCTATTTTCTTTCGGTTGCGGTGTAAGTTCTTGCACTTTTTGGAATTTCAATGGTTTATCCCGAGCTCATTTTTCAATATTTGCCGAATTGAATATTGCGATGTGTTCAGCCCAAAAACCATTTTTCGACCACTGCGACGTGGGTTTCTATTAAGTCGCTTCTTTTCTTTTCGAACCATTTCTGCTAATGTTGCTGGTTTCTTCCGTCCACTTTCTTGACGTCGGGCTACCCTACCAGTATCACGGTAACGAGCGATGATACGAGACAAGAGATTTATTCACATTTAAATGCTGGAGTGCTCTAACGATGGCCACTTGTGGTTTTCCAGCCAGATATAAATAAATCACAGTATCACGCTTGAATTCCATCACGAATAACTTTTTTTCCTGGAAAATTCTCACTAAAATGCTTTTGTACGCTTGTAAACAATAATGAGCGGTCACTGGAATAATTTTAACAACTGTTGGACGAGTGGCTTAAAAATGGCAGCAGTCTGAAGTTGGTTGCAGTTTTTTCGTCACACATTGTACAATATTGGGATAAAACTGTATTGTCCTGCTATTTTAGATTCAATCACCAAAATTCCATTCTTGTTTCGCAGGTTCTCGGCAATCTAAGAATTTTGTTAAAAATTTTTAAATAAACAAAGCCAACTGTTGCAAAGTCTATTTGACACTATAAGACTCCAGCACAGAGTTGCATTTTTCTTGTTTCTTTGAAGTTGACCAAACATTCTTATTGAGCCATGGTACCATTGGAATGTTTTGATATAATTGGAAGATCTCCACGTATAAGTATTATGGACAAAACTTAAAACATTCTTGATTTTTAATAAAAAAATAAATTACAAAAAAATATCAAAACAATTTTTTTATTTCAATAAACCATTCAATAACCATTGAATAAAAGAGAATTTTATTTGAAGCTGAGAACTTTAAAGCCTTTTCAATGGAAATTATAATCAGTTGTATAATTGGAGCTTATTAGTCATACTATTATACTAATACTAACTACTATCACTAATACTATTGTCATTGTTTCCTCATATATACATACACATGTTCATAGTAAAGAAATTAAAAAAAATCAAATTTGATTTTCTTATAAACTTTATTTTATGCAATTGTTGAGTGAATATAAGCACAATACTTGTTACATTTTTATGTTCTTTTTTATACAAAAAAATAACACCAATTTCTATCTTTTTTAATATGCGATTTTTTTTATTTTATTTAAAAAACAAATTCTTTAATGAAAGACAACAAAATGTAATTTCCCTCCTATATTTATATAGATTTATACATTATTATACTATATATATAAATAAGCCAATGTATACATGCTCTACTTTATGTGTATGAATATCTACATGTATTTATACCAACTAGGAAAGAAATCCAATATTTAATAACGTTTTGTGGAATTCTTTTTTTAATTTTTGAGAAAAAGAATAACTCAAACAAGTGTAACCACTTAAATAAAAAAAACAATAGTTTAATTATAACAAAAAAAAAAAACACTAAGTAACAAGAACAACTTTAAAGCGAAATGTAAAAACGTGTGATAGTTATAATGAATCTACATAAATAAATAATTAATAAAACAAATTGTTAAACAAAAATAATTAAATAGTTAAAAATAGAAAATTAAGCCCACCATTACATTTACCATCAGCTTACATGCATACATACATACGTATGTATGTACATGTGTAGTGGTATGTCAATACTACATTTGTCCAAGGCCAATGCAAAACCCAAATTTTGTTTTGCAACAAAAAAAAAGAAACTCAAGTAATAAATTTAATAATTCATAAAGTTCGCATGTATCGAAGGAATATTTGGAGCCCAGGTGCCATTTACATAATAATGTTTAAAATAAATGGTGGCAATTCCTCAACCAATTAGACATCTTAAGTTCGACATTGATAATTTTCGACATTTCACATCTTAGCAGTCCAACCTTATTTGGGTATGGTTAAAATTAAAATTTTTTATACTTTATTTCCTCATGAACAATGAACTATTTTATTTTTTTATTGCGGACATTTCAATCTGGAAATAATTATTTAGAAAAAGTTGTGTTTTTTATCTACAATTTTTTTTTTTATTAAACCTAAGTTTTGAACTGACTCTCTCAATGTTTTAATCGTACCTCAGTAACTAGAGCGTTAACACGAAACCTCTCTAGACTGTTGAGCGGTAAATGATTTTAATTGTTTATTACAACAAAAAACATTTTAATTTACAATTGTTGAAAGAAAAATGTATTAATTGAATATTTGTAGATTATCTGGAACAAATTAATAAAGCAAAAGTATATACATAAACGATATTGTAAAAAACGTCAAAACATCAAAATTGTAAAAATATGAAATCCAAAAATTATAATAATAACTCAAATGTAATATTGCGATGATATTAATAAAATAAAAATGCAGATTTAATCAAAATTGTTGAACAATATAGTTTGATTTTCAACCAAATAATTATTTTTTCATCCACAAGTGTGATTCGAACCGTTTTTTATGGAATACATTGTAGTCAGTGGTATCTTTATTTATAGACTGTCAAAATGGACCCTTTGGTTTATGTGAAGTCAGTTTGTTTATAAACTCACTTTATTTATTTTTTATATGTGCTCCGCCTTTCTAAAACTAATATGTTTAAAACTAGCTTCTAAGAAATCGTTAGTCAATCCATATTTCCAGTAAGATTCGTTTCTGGTATCTTGCAGCGACTGTATCTGGGACAACGAATATACAAAATCAAATTAGATCAATTTACACGTTACTACAGTATGTATTAAATATTTAAAATCATCCAATATTATATTCAAAGCATTTAAAATCATTTCACGGTGAATGTCTCTGGTTTTTTATCATTTCAGTCTGATTGGCAGAAACTCCGACGCCATAAGCCGTCAACGCCGTAAATTTCATCACAGTCTACAGTTATTTTGTATCGCCATAAAACTTTTTGTTTCTGCTCCTCCTTCGTAATTTGGAATTCTGTTCAAATTTTTATCGGGTATATTGTTTTGTCTTTCTTTTTTGGACGCTGGGAACGTTTTTAATTTTGGTTGTACCAGAACAAAACAAACACAGCTGTTTGCAGTTTGTTGCCTCTTCCACTTTCTATACATTCATTTTGTTTTCTCTTTCTTTTTTCGTTTCTATCTGTTGTTAGTGCATTTGTGTACAGCGTTGCCAGTATTTTCAATTCGTTCGGAAGTATTGCCGTCCAGTTTATATACCTACCTATTAGATTGATTGAAAGAAGCAAAGCGTATTAGAGAAAGAAATTAATTAAGAGAAATTTTAACAATTTTGACGATGAATTCCAGCCGCTCCACGTCCAGCTCGTCGTCTGGTAGCACCTCCAGCAGCGGAAGTACTAGTTGCTCCGACACTACAGGCTCTTCTTCGGATACCGAAACATCTTCAAGTGGTGGACATGACAACAAACCAAAACTTCCCACAACAAGGCGCAAAAGTTCCGAAAAGGGAACAGGACATCAAAATGAGATGGATATGAAAACACCCTCTAAAGGCAATCCCCCAAATGGCGGGACAAAATCGAATAAACCCTGTTCATATTCCAGTGACGAAGATACACCACCAACTAAGAAGCCTGTAAAGAGAACAAGCACAACATCAACAACTACACCAACGACAACGGCCAGCCAACAGCGTAGAAAGAATTCTGGGACATTTACTCTAACTGCATCCAAGTTACAATCCCAGGCGAATAAAACGACAGCCGCTCAGGCAGAAGATGTTGCCATCAATGAAAATAAGACTCCCAAAATCGTCTCAGAACAAAAGGAAAAGCCACAACCGGTGGTGGCGCAGATTCCAGAATCAGAAAAGCCAACAACGTCAGGAACTGGCACTGCTAAACGTAAACCAAATGAACCACCGCTGACCAAGGCAGCAGCAAAGACATCGAACAATAACTGTCCTCCCGAACCCACTATCAAAGGTAAACAACCACCAGCCAAACGTAGCAATGGACCTCCTCCCCCAAAGAGTACTCCAACAGCGGCAAAGAAAAAGTGTTCCGATGAGTCTGAATATGATAGCATTTCAGGATCGGAAGATGAGACCAGCACAACAAGTAGTGAGACTGATAGCAGTGATACATCATATTCCTCGAAGGCGGGAAGAGGCAAGCGGGCAAAGGCCAGACTTCAGGCGGCCAAGAACAAAAATGACCTATCCAACTCGGATGATGCCGGTAATGCTCCCAAAGACGTAAAGAATAGAAAACTTACACGATCACTGAGCAATAGACGTTCCCAGCAGCAGTTGAAATCATCAGCTGGTGCAGGACAATTTTGTACGGATAGTGAGTCGGAGATCGTCAATGGGGAATCTGGAAAGCGCGGCCATTGTAAGACACCAACAAAGAAGGCCTACCTTGGCTTGGGTGGTAGTTTGAGTAAATGCACTGTGAAGAAAGAGGCCACAAACAACAACGGATTTGCTCACATGCCACGGGCGCCGTCTCCACCGCAACATGAGAAACGTTGTCCTGTTGAAGGCTGTGATTCTTCGGGACATTTAAGTGGCAATTTGGATCGTCATTTTCTTCCTGAAGCCTGCCCCATTTACCACAACATGTCTGTCTCTGAATGTAAAGAGAGGGCCAATGAACGTAAGTTGCGAGAGGAAGCCCGGGCCAAGTTTGCATCGAATACCAATAATTTGGATGGACAAAAAATGGTGCCATTTTCCAAACATACTCAAACGCCAGAACAGAGGGAATTCTATAATAGAATCAAGGAATCGCGGGCTCGCTTCAAGCCAATTGCCGAAGCTGTGAACAGTGACAAAGTAAAATTGGAGAAAGACTGCAATGATGATGATCGTGAAGCGAATTTAGTGGGTCTAGTGCCAGACTATGATTTACAACTGTTTCGGGACGCCCAGGCTTTGGCCAGTGAGAAAATAGAGGAGGAAGTGAAAGACTTACCCATTGGCAAGGGCATCAAGTGAGCAATCATTTAAAGTATAGCCTTAAAAATTCGTATAATTTTTGAGTTTTTTCTCTTTCGTGCAGGTACATTACCATGGGAAAATACAAAATGAAAGTGTGGTATCAATCACCCTATCCGGAAGATGTTTCTCGCCTGCCACAGATGTACATTTGCGAATTTTGCTTGCGTTACCAAAAATCAGAGACCGGCATTAAACGCCATGCACAGAAGTGTGTTTGGCGTCATCCTCCCGGTGATGAAATTTACCGCAAGGGCAAGCTCCAAGTTTGGCAAGTCGATGGAAAACGTCACAAGCAATACTGTCAACATTTATGTCTTTTGGCGAAATTCTTTTTGGATCACAAAACCCTCTACTATGACGTTGAGCCGTTCCTGTTCTATATCATGACCTTGGCCGACAGCGATGGATGTCATATAGTGGGATACTTCAGTAAAGTAAGTGTGATGTATAAAATGTTGTAAATCATAAAATAGCATATACGTGCATGTTATTACACTCGCATTCATACCTCATAGAAGTTTCTCCATGAGAACAAATATTTAAAATTCATTTATAGTGAAATCTTTATGATCCTTTTGGTCCGAAAATAGTTTTATATACGTACATATACTCACATTCCCGACAAGATCAATTTCGGTCCATAATATATTAAACCGCCCATGAATTAAACCAGAAAAACGTATGTATACAGGGTGGGATAAAAAAAACTGTACCAAAGTCAAACACCATAATTTTTACATTTGTTTAAAATTTTATTGAATGAAAGCAAAAAATGTCGGAAATAGCATCAAATTTTAGAATAAGTTTAGATTTGTTCGAATTGATCACCTTTGGCACGAATTATGGCCTTCAAACGGCCAATGACACCATCACACGCCACCCGAATGTTGCTCTGCGGTATTTTGGCCCATTCCCGACGAAATGCTTGTTTGAGGTGATCGACACTTTGGTATTTTTAGTGCCAACCTTGCTTTCCAAAATTCTCCAGACACAATAGTCTAACGGATTGGTATCCGGAGATTTTGGTGGCCATTGTTCGCTGGAACTGAAGCGAGGAACCTCATTTTGTAACAATTCCTGGGTGAGGCGTGCTGAGTCCTGTTGGATTTTTCGAGGTCTGCGGCCAAAATGTTTGCCTGCCCAAGGCTTTAATACACCCTCCAGACTATTCGGTATTTATTTTGATTCCACGGTCGAATAATGCGAACGGAGAGCGACGGCATGACCGGCGCTTGAGATCTGATGGCCAACCGGAGGTGTACATTTTCAGCTGACCTCTTTGGCATGTAAACACGATAATTTTGTTTGTTTACAAACTGCTGGACAATGAATGTTTTCTCACCGAAAAAAAAAAAACAAATTCGTCAGTTCACCACTTTCGGCCAAGCGAAGCAACTCTTTAGCTCTTTTGAGTCTATTTGTTGGTTAGTGTCTAGGAAATTGGTTGCAGTTTTTTCATCTAACCATGTATGAACGTAGAATCTTGAAATTTTGCACTGGGACGATCTTGGTGCGTAGGCGTGTGATAAGGATAGGTTTTTGGAAATTCGTACTTTTCAGGCTAGCTGGAGAATTATTGATGGTTTTGTATTGGAGAGTGAAGGCAGGTTATGCAGTGTTTGCCTATACATGAGCCTCTGTCTGGCTCTAAAAAGAGTTCGGCAATGACACAATAAGGGTTCCACAGTTTCTATCACTTCCTCCTCTTGAAAAAGCCTAAAATAGTCACACACACACTTAGAAGTCACGGCCCTGATATTACAGTGACCTGTGATTTAGACTACCACAAGTTTTAGGCCAGACTTTGCCATTGAATATAGCCCTTTGCATTTAGCCACTTATGTTGAAATCTTCCACAATAATGTATTATCTGGAATCAGCGACACAAGGGTGGCTTCGCCGAGCTCTCAATCTCTAGAACAGTTGACTCGGATCTACTTATTGCCAATTCATCAGCAGGTTTATTGCCAGAAATGTTACTGTGATCAGGAACCAAACAGAGCTTAAAAAAGGACTTCACTTTTTCCAGAGCAATCCTGTACTTTAGAACTACCATAGATCAGTCACCGGTCTGTTCAGTTCAACTGTACGATTCATTAGAAATTATTATTATTATTAGAAATTCTACAGCTTTCCTGAAGAAATTAGTACTAAGCTGTTACGAAAAGTATTAAAATGTAAATGTAAAAATTGAATACATGGTATTTGACAAACGGAATGAGCCAGAATTCTAAAGTTTGGAATGAGAGTCACTGATGTAGTGTAGGATAGATCTAATAAAAAGTTTTCGAAAACTAAGATTATGAAAAGTTCTAAAATGGAAAGTGGCTTTGGAAAACTGTACTAAGTGTGAGAACTGTAAATAGTGCTAAATTTGGAACAGTTTAGTTCAGGGTGAACGGATAAGCTGAAATTTCGAAATTGTGTATTGGTGATAGGTTTGTGATAAAGAGCGGGTTTTAAAAATTTGTACTGCAAGTGCACGAAAAGTATTAAATATTATTCGGAAATGTGTTCTATAATTGTATGTAAAAAATATATTTGTTATTGGGTGAAGGGATAAGGCTGGAACCTCAAATTTGATATTGAGGCCTCTGTTGCTATCTGGAATTTATATATAGTTTTTGAAATATGCACTATATTAGTACGAAAAGTACTAAATAGTACTAAATTTGGTATTGGAGTAAGGGATAGAGCTGAAATCCAGAAATTTAATATAGATGTCATTGTTGGCATCCTCGATTGTGATTTGGAGGCGGTTTCGGAAATGTGCACTATAATTGTTCGAAAAGTACTACTTGGAATGCCGAAATTTTATATTGAGGTGTCCGTTGGTGGTTTTGCAAATTCATATCATAATTAACGAAAAGTTCGAAATAGTACTAAATTTGGTATTGGGTGAAGGTATAGAACCGAAATCCTGAAATTTGATATGGATGTCACTGTTGGTATCTTAGGTTGAAAGAAGGAGCTGATTTTGGCTATTCGTACTATAATTGCACAAAATTCAGAAATGGGGGAAATTAAAGAGATAAAATCCTGAAGTTGTTATTATTTTTTAAATGCTTTCTATAATTCTTCGAGAAGAATTAAATGCTACTAAATTTGTTATTGGGTGAATAGAGCTGAAATTTGATATTGAGGTTACTGTTGATTTCAAGGGTTTACTATAGTATTCGATCAACGCATTGGTTCCAGTCTAAACCATTACCGAGTACAATTAAAATGCTTCTACTTATTTCCATCAAACGTCTCTGGGTTATTAGCAAAAATTAATTATTTTTGTAATTTTTTAATTTAAATTTTAACAACAGTCAGTCGGTTTTGCGACAGATTTATACCCCCAGCCTTGAGTTATGGTTACATATTAGATTTCTAGTTAAGAGAAATATTTAGATATAGCAAGTTGTAAAGATTCGCCGACTTGTTTCGCAAGTAATGACAGATATAGGAATTGGCAATTGTGACCCTTAGCGGGTGAGGTACCAGGAGGAGTTCGCAGATATATGTAAATCAACAGATCTAGCGTTAGCAAAATATTTGGATGTGTGAAATTTAAACAGAGTTGGATGCTTATCTCGCCTTCTTTGTGCGTTTTGTTTTTCAAAAATATTGAACCCTATGTAGGGGAGGTACCAAAAGAAATGATCTGATCTCTACCGTCTTTATAACAGATCTTGTGTTAATGGAAATATTGAGATGTACCAAGTCTGAATTGAATGGGATGTAAATTTCGCGTTTTATGAGCTTCATGGATATTAAAAAAATAAATGAAATGAAATGAAATAAAAAATGTTGATACTTTGTGGGGGAAGTACCAGAAGAAGTGGACCGATATATCCCATGTTCATGCCAGTCATTGGGTTAAAAAAAAACATTGTGACGTGTGTAATTTGAAGACAATCGGACGTTTTATGAACTTCACGGATGTTCAAAAATTTGACCCTTTGTGGGGAAGGTACAGGAAGGAGTGGACCGATATATCCCATTTTCACTCCAGACCTTGGGTTAATAAAAATATTGGGAGGTGTGTAATTTGAAGACAATCGGACTCTTACATCATGCATTTTCGCACCTGACCCATCACTTATGCAAATATTAGGATTCGTTGGAAAAAATCGGATTATCCTTTCTTCTTATGTGCAGTCAATTATTTTCTTTGAAAATGTTGACATTTTGTGTGGGATGTACCAGAAAGACGGGGACGATATTGCCCATCTCCGAACTTGATCTAAGTTTGACAATAATATTACGATCTACCAATTTTGGATCAAATCGTGCGCACCAGCCACACAGACGGTCGGACGGACAAATATCCCGAAACGGATTTGGTCCAAAGAGAAATAGGGTCGAAAACCGTTATTTCGATGAGGAACGTTTTGGCCGTATCAAATGATATATACCCACTCTAGCCACATGACTGAGGGTATAAAAACTGTAAAAGGCAGCGCCATACTTTTTGTTTCTCTCAAAATTTTCTAAGTTGTTTTACATTGGTATTTGTTTGTCGCAATGGGTTCTAGCTCCGATGGCAAAACATTGTATGTAAAGGTTAACGTTTTTGTATAACTTCCATATAACGGTACCTCCCGATGTTCGGTATTTTGATGATTTTTGCCTCATTCGTATTTGTGGGTCATAATGGGTTCTAATGTTTCCTTTACCCTAAGGTGGAGGGTATTAAAAGTTCGGAACTTAATGTTTTTACTTGTTTTTTTTTTTTAGAATACTGTTGGCATTTTCGTTCGGGATACCGTAGTATTTTGTTGTTACAAAACAGCTAGGCTTAATCCCGTTATTGTTTTTTAAACAAGGGAATGATTTTCTGCCAAAAAAGTTGTACAAAAGTTGTTGATTTTTTCACCAATATTAGATCCAAGCTAAACCCATACGTGGACCAGTGTTTAAAATTATAGGTTATGTTTAAATAGAGTTGAAGCTCTAAAACGATTATTTCGATTCTTATAAATAGACATTTCACTCATCATCAGAGTGAAATATATGTAAACAAATCTTCTTAAAATTGCTTCTTCATTAAAATTGCTTATTTTTATTATTTTTTCAAATTATTTACTATCATCTTTATTGTTGTCTAATCATTCTCTTTTTCGACCATCGCATATAACAAATCCAAAAAAAATCATCTTTTAATATTTATAATTTCTACAAATTTTTACAAACTAACTAAATCTACCCTCTATTCTTTTTCTATTCCTTTGTAGAGTTTGGTGAGTGTTTGAACTTTTGTGACTATGTGAATAACAACAGTCCTGCATGGATTTCCCACCCATTCCACGGGAAGATGGGTTGGTTGGACGGGCTTTCGATCGGTCGGTTGGTCGCGGTGCAAATACAAGGTTTGTGCACACACACCTACGTAACAATGGTACTGAATGAGATGTTATTGTTGTTGCTGTTGCCCTCGTCGCTCTGA